GGGTGTGCAGGCAGTGTTTTTTTCCCCCTATATTGAAGCAGGTTCTCTTGGAGTATTTGGGTGGCCCTTGACATGATGTGATCTTTTTCTCTGGTGGAGTGTTCTTGTTTGATGAAGGTGGTTTTCAGTGTGTTTAGGTGTTTATCCTGGACTTTCTCTTCAGAGCAAATTCTGCAACATCTGAAAGCCTGGCTGTAGATAACAAATTTTGTGGTGCATCTGGAGTGGTTGCTGGATCTATGGAGGTAAGTGTGGTGATCTGTAGGTTTCTTGTATGTAGTCATTTGGATGGTTCTATTGTTGACGCTGATCACAGTGTCCAAGAAGTTGATGCTGGTGTGAGAGTGTTCTAGCGAGTTTGATGGATGGCTCGTGGTTGCTGATGATGTGGTGGAAATCCATTAGGGATTTTAGGTCTTCTGTGCAGAGGATGAAAATATCATTAATATATTTAATGTAGAACGTTGGTTTCATGGAGGATTTTTCCAGAAATTCTTCCTCAAGTTGGCGTATGAAGAGGTTGGCATGTTGGGGAGCCACTCTAGTTCCCATGGGTGTTCTCATGGTTTGGACATAATGTTTGTAGTTAAAGATAAAGTCACTGTGGGTGAGGATGAAAGCATTGTACATTATCTTGTAGGTATTTGAGGCAGGCAATGATGCCGTCATGGTGAGGATATTGGGGTTTAGGGAGGTCACATCTATGGTGGCAAGGATGGTGTTCTGGGGAAGTTGTTTATATTACAGAGTTTCTGGAGGAAGTTGATAGTGACTTGAAGAAATCTGTTTTTTTGTGTGGTGAGTGGTCTGAGGCTGAGTTCTATGAGTCCTGATATTTCTTTAGTAACAGTGCCATGGTCAGATATGATCAGTCTGCCTGGTTCCCTTGTTTGTGTTGCTTGGGAAGCTTGTAGAAGGTCTCTGGAGTGGTTTAATGGAGGTGAGGTTGTAGAGTGTTTCTTGCAGTTGATTGGGGAAGGATTTGATGGTATCTTTACATTTCTGTGTGAATAGTGGTGTGGGGTCTTCTTTTAGTTCTTTATAGTAGGTGGTGTCAGAGAGTTGTCTGTTGGTCTCATTCACATAGTCATCATGATTAAGGACTTCTTTAGCACCCTTTTTTTCTGTTGGTTTGATCACTATCTGGTGGTTGGATTCTAGGGACTGTATAGCTATCCTCTTGGTGGTAGAGAGATTATAGTGGATGTAATGTTTATTGAGGATTTCACTGTCAATTTTTTTCCTCACACAATTATTTTAATGATCAGTGTGTGGTTTCGTCCACTGGGGGGTGTCCAATCAGATGACTGTTTATTCATATGACTGTTGGTGAGGATGTGGTTGTTGTGGGTGGTGTCATCTTTACTGTGAAAGAATTCCTTGAGGTGGAACCAGTGGAAGAATTCTTTTAGTTTTCCACATGTTAGTATAGTGTCAGCTTCTGTGGTGGGGCAGAAGCTCAGTCCTTTGGCGAGTACTGGTCCTTCAGTTTTGGTTATGGGTAGTCTTGATAGGTTAATGATGTTGGGGTGTCTTGTAGTGTCCATATGGTGGGTCATGGTGTCTTGGTTTCTCCTGGAGGTGGTGTTCTGTTGGTTGTGGAGTTGTTGTAGTTGGTTCCACTTTTTGTTTTTGTGTTGGATTGCTGTCATCAGGTTTTTTTAGATTGATGTTTTGGGTTTCCTGCATGATATCCAGGTAGGTTTCCTGATTTTTTCCTTCCAGTGTGTGGGAGCATGTGATCATTTGATGTTTGCAGTGGTCCCTTTTGGAGTGTGTAAAGTGCAGGAGACGGCTCCTCAATTTTTCTGAGGTCCTTCTGTAGAGCTGGTCAGCATTTTTGAAATACAAGGAGCAAGTCAGTGGAGAATCAGGCTCAGTGTATCAGAATGCATCGTTATGGTGCAATGATGGTGTATATGTATCTGCTGTATATATGTATTTACAGTTTGGTTTTATGGTAGGACAGTGAGCTATGTCATTTGTCATTCCAGTATTTTGACCTGATCTTGCAAGCTTCAGAGCACCTTCTGCAAAGTGCTCACATCATCAGCTCTGACTTACTTCATTAGGAGTGAAGGGTGCTCATCTTGCAGGAGACATTTATATCTCTCAGGTCTGATCCCAGTGATAGACAAATAGGTTCTTTAAAACACAATTGCTAGCTTCTTTTGCCAAACACAGTGAATTGTTTCCTGAAACAAGCTCCGTCTATAGTATATTGAAATGCAAAACCCTCGTGCTCCTAAATGTTGAGAACACTGATTTACAAATGGGTTCAATTTTATACATAAAAATCTCTCTATGTGCTAAGTAATTGCTCTGGGTCCCCGGTGGATGGGAATGGTGCAGTGAGGGAAGGTTTATGATTGCTGGCACTACGGAATTGTATGATAAGTGTTCTCAGTTATTTGATCTGAGACAAAATAAACTAATTGTACCTTTCGAGAGATCTACATGCAGATTAGTGTTGAGATCACATTGCTGTATTTGTTAATAAAGCTTTCCGCCTTCACAAGCACTGTTATTTTGCATTCACTTTCAACTTTTTTATGGTCAGCAGCAGAGTGTAAATGTTTGTGCAGTGTAGACATCAGAGATCCCTTGTTATACTGAAAATATGACTAGTCATAAGCAATAATGTCTAAATCAAAATAAGATTTGGAGGTTGGGTTTGCATAAGCCTTGAAAATCTTGATTGCTTATCTGGCGGTATTGAAGTTTCACTCCTCCCTGACCTCAACAAGTCAGGGACAGATTAAGACAGGTTCATGGTCCAAGGGGACCTAGTTTGCAGTGAGTCAGCTAAGGTGCAGCATGTGTGACCTTGTATGTGCTAGGGAGTGTTGTTTTACATAGCAGGAAGAGTTGGAAAAAAACAAGGATCCATTATCAGGGTCTGGAAGAGAGAGTTCATGCCACCAATAGGGGGCTGGGAGGGAGCATCTGTTGAAGATCTGTGGGACACCAACTTTTTTGATAGGAGAGAGTTTAAAATAATGTGGCTCTGGGTCCCATTTAACCTTATTCTGTCTCTCTTCTGTGTTCAGTAATTGCCATCAGTAGAGACTCAGGTCTTTGGCCCTCTCTCTTGGCATCTGGCCAGCTACAATCTATATGTCTTGGATGCTCCAGGAATTTGCTGCTTCAGAGGTGCCCAAGTATGATTGCCTGCCTTCCCTTTCTGAAGGAAGCTCCTCAATGTGTAATATTTGAAGGCAGCAGACAACCCAGTAAATATTCCCAGGCTTGCTGAGAAGTCCATGAGATGGATTTTAGCCAAGCCAGGCATCCTGTTGGAAGAGGAAAGAGGTGGCCAGAAGAGAAAGGGGACTTATCAAAACTTTCTCAATTCCCTACCACCCAGAGATATCGGAGGGGTAGATTTTGGAGGATTTGACAGAGAAAGGGGACTTCAACTTGCTTACACAGCACCAACCAGCTCCCTCCTGTTCTGTGTCCGTTGACATCACAGCTCTTCCTGTAGAAACCATGCTGCTACTGCTGACCCTGAAGCAATTCTCAGGTAGCGACGTTGCTTGGTGCAGAGGGAAAAACTATGATGTTATCACAGTCCCCACACTGTCCTCTACCACCCTATGGAAATGGTACCCCATAGAACTGCCTCACAGAAGGGATTCCACAGGTTCAGAGATGCCTCTTTCTCCTCTCACCATGATCAGAATCTGGAGAGTCTGCATTCCCTGTTTTCAGAAGCCAGGGAAGCATGGGGCCATCAATTCTTACTCATGAATAACTCCCCTTATAATAAGTTGGAGATTTGCCTGGCTTAAGATCTCAGGATTTGAACTAGAATTAAGAATGCATGGTTAGAGACATTTTTCTGCTATGGGAAAACATTAATATTGTCCCTACCTAGTGACTTTGAGCTGGAACAAGAAAATAAAGATGGGCTCTGAAAGTAAAGTTTATTTTTGTGCGTGTGTGAGTGTACATGCCTGGGAATCAGGAGTGCAAGGTGCAGAACAGGCTGTTAGCAGGTGATGGCTGCCTTTCTTTCTTTGGAAGATGTGAATTGAATTTTTTTATATTTTTATTCTGTACCAGCAGTTCAGCAGCAATACGAGCTGTCGGTAAGCCACAAGCATGCAAGTAAAATCTGGGTTTGACTGTGGATAGTTTACAATATTTACATTTATAGCAGCAAGTTCCCATTTAGAAAAGTTAATGGTATTGGGGGGGAGAGGGAAAGCATTACAAATTAATATCTGCTATGGACTGGATGTCACCTTTGGTATCGCTTTTCTGAATGTGTTCAGAGTCTTTGATGAGGTGTCTGTCAGAGAAGAAGCTTAACTTTGGAAGCCTGATTTTGACCTTGATCTCTTCTTTCATTTATATTTTGAGCTTCTTGTTGTAATTTAACCTATTACCCTGTACTCTGTTGCTTTTTCCTGGGAAGTACTTTAATTTTACAGAAAATACAGTTCCTGAAAACTGAGTGAATCGTGCCAAATAATCTCATTGCAATGAATTATAACTTATTTTTTGGTCTTTTCATGAGGTTGATTCAGATATTGGTTAAACAGAGCTTTTTAATACATTTTAGTATTAGCAGTTGACAACTTCAATAAAGGAAAAAGAAAAAAGAAAAACCCTTGGAAATCCCATTCATTTTTCTTTTGAGTAACTGTTAATCTTTGTGTTTATAAATACAAAATGGGGTCAGTTTATTATTTTTTATTACTATTATTAATAAAGAATAATAAAATATGCAATGGCATTGTTCAATAGCTAATGAAGTCCTGTTAGCAGGGGATTTAAATAGTTGTGCATGGCAACCTGTAGTACTAACTAAACTGGTATATTTTCCTGCGAACTAAATGACAAGGTGAGCTTTGCATTCCCTTTGCCAAAATGAACACTTTAATGTGAAATAGACGTGGACTTCAGTAATGGGAAACTTCCCAAGATTGCTCACATTTCTTGATAATCTCCATGGAACTCTAACACTTACCAAATATTTTTCTTGTTGGCAGGTGGAGTGGATACAACAACAGGTAGTTAAAAGAAGGATAAAGAGGGATTATAAACCTGGTGGTACTCAATCCACTTATTTCAATGATCCCAAGTGGCCAAGCATGTGGTACATGGTAAGTATAAAGGCAGCCATTGGCTCTGATTCATGCTAATCGTTTAGTTGCTCTGCTATGATCAAACTTTCTTTTTAGTTTTATGTGGACTAAGGAAGGGTCTGTAAACTCCTTACCAGTATAATGAGTGCTTCCTATTGCGGTGCTCTTGGGGAATGTTTTATTATAGAATAAAGTTTCATCAGTGGGGAGGGGAAGGGACATAACCATGGTCCATATGAGGAAGGGGAAAAAAACCCTTCTGGTCTGGGTGCCCTGCCTCCAAGACCCCATGTGCTACAGATAATTCCCATTGACTCCAATATCAGTTGTATCATGAAGCAAGAGAATGGAGACCAGAATTATGTCTTTGTGACAGTAGTAGGCACACAGATATGGTGTGTTAGATAATGAACTATTCCATTCGACCCTGGGTTGCTTTTTGTCTGACATAAGAAATACAAGCAAACTTTTTTTTTTAAAAACATGTAACAGTCACAGTTAAAGCTTGGACTGAAGATCTTGGCTACCCAAACAGATTTTAACTATGTCCTTAATTTGTGTTGCATGGCCTAAATTAAGTATTTTAGTCTTCGTATATCCAGGCTTTGGAAGAAGGGAGAGTCAAATTAGGCAAATGACTGCAGTTTAATAACAGGATAGTCATATTTCCCAGTTCACTGAAAACTTTGCCTATGGTAAACCATCCTGTCTTCAAAGACACATGTTTGTTAGGATATAAATCACACATCCAAAGGCTTTAAAGAGAGATTAAACTAATATAGGACCAAATCTGACCCTGGTCAGCAAGTGAGATGGAGCCAGGCCACTGCCTAGTCCTATTCTGCAGTAGGATGTTTGTGAGGCATAGTGGAGAAGGACCAGGACAGTTTGGAGAGGACATTTGCTGGGGCCAATGCTTCTGCTCCTTTGAATAAGAACAGTATGGTCTTCAGGTGATCATATATACTACCTGTGTTGGCCATTTCCACAGTTATGAGACCAGCCTTTTGGATTTGTGTTGTGCCCGCCATTACAGTCTTGATCTCCTTTGCTAGTGCTCTGTTGAACACTTGGTAGGACTCCTGGCCCTGCAACCCTCTTTCCACACAAGGTCACCCATGTAGCTCAGATGAGAGCAGGGCCCTAAACTGAAGTAAGCGTTTTGAGACTTGATGGCTTGATTGTCATCAGACTTGAGGGGAAAATGTACATTTTTGAAACTGTTATGTAAAAAGATGTTTAATTTTAGGATAGATACATTTTCAGTGGAATATCATCTCTCTGCTTTTAAAAATTGCAATTGAAAAACAAAAAGGACACAGACCAAAGGTAATTTGCAAATAACAGTATAGTCCGAGATTTTGAGATGCCTTATCTTCAAGCACAGATAAGAGTATGTGCTGTATGGGTAGGTCACCAATCAGGATAGGGAGTGACTTGGGTATTGGCCCATGGTTCCAGGGTTGCTGGGCTTTGATCAGAGACTATGCAATAACCAGACTTCCCAGATTTTTCATATATTTATCACTGAACCTTATCACTGACCCTTTGAAAGGCACATTGTTGTCCCTGACTCCAGCATGACTCTACTTACTGAATTTCTGGCATAATTTTAAAATCTCCTCAATAAGCCTTGACATACAGTAGGGGCATATTTATGTGTATACAATAGGGTATTTTCAGTTAAGGGCTCTTGACTTTGGAACTTGCTTCCCTTTTTGGTCCAGCAGACCTGAATCCTTTGATATTATGGGCATGATGCAAGGTCCCTGTTTTCCCAGGTTCTTGATGAGGAGGTGGGTTAAGGAATGCATAAGTGGGTTCAAAGAGGAGATATTTGTGACTCCTGATAGGCCGTTAGGATCCTTTTTTATGTGTACACTCAGAGCACTCAATCGGTGCAGTTTAAAACTACCAAGAAATTAACTAAGTATTGAAAAAGGATGGTCAAGTCTCTTGAGCTAGGTGTATAGTATGTTTTGGTGGAGGCTACCACAGTCCCTGGGAACTCTCCAGTTTAGTTGCAGGGAATCTTTCCTCCCTGGTTATATATAATTTCCTTTCTAAAGCCTCCTATTGTGACAAACAGTACTTATCCTGGGAAGGCTGGATGTGATGTTTGCTGGGCCCTGTCAATGCTGCGGCTTGGCACTGGAAGGGAAAAGGGTACTTATTAAATGATGGCTATTATACCAAACAGATTTTGATAGAAACCACTCACATTGCTCAATGATTGCGCTATACTCACTAATGAAAGCATTTTATTGAATTTTTACTAGTTCACAAAATCATATAAATTGAGTATAGGTGTAAGTATAACTGCAGGAAAACGATTCTGCTATTGGATATAGCATATAGCATGATTCTCCAACTCCACCATAGCACTGCTGTCCATATGCCACATATGAGTGTTGTGTCATGGGAGTAAGGCAGCTTGTTCTTGCTACCCTGTGGTACATGTTTGTGGTTACCATGATACTGGCAGTGGAGGAATTCCAGGCTCTCCTGGCCTCTGCATAGAAGTGCAAAGTAGTAGTACTATTTTATTTATTATGTTAACACAGGTGGAGAGGAAGCCCTCAGAAAAACCTCAAAGGAATAATTAGGGCTCCAAGACCCAGATCCTACAAAGACTTACTTATGAGCTTAACTTTAAGCAGGTGAGTTGTCCCATTGAGTTTTGTGGGACTACTCACCTGCTTAAAGTTAAGTATATGTATAATGTTTTGTAGGATTAGACCCAAGTTCAGAACCCACATTTTATGTACGGGTGTGTTTGTGTGTGTGCTTGATCCACAATTTCAGGAAAAGTTTAATTAAAATAAAAAGTTTAACAAACAGAATCTCTTCTCTGACATGGTGGGAAGGATCAAAGGTGGATATTTCCTACTCATGAAAGTCAAGATAGTGGGGCTGGGAGAACTTAGGTTTTGGGAGACCCAAGTTCAATTTCCTGCTCTACCACAGACATCCTGTGTGACCTTGGGCACGTCACTTAGCCTCTCGGCCTCATTTCTCCATCTGTGAAATGGGGATAATACCCCTTCCTTACCTCACAGAGGTGTTGTGAGGAGAAATACATGAAAGATTGAGAAGTCTTTGATATCTACTGATGAAAAGTTCTATATAAGAACTAGATATTATTATATTATGTCAGGCTAGGGATGTTAATACTAGATATGTGCACTGGACAGAAATTCCATTTTATGAAGGATTTTTGGATTTCAAAATTTGGTTTTGTCCTAAATCAGAGGGAAACATGAACATTTCTAAATTATCCATGAAAGACAATTCAGGGGAAAAAATATTTGAAATCAATCAAAACATTTTGTTTGGACAAAATCAAAATGTTTTATTTTTATTTGAACTTTTAAAATTGTATATTATAATACAAAGTATAATACAATAACAATTGTATATGATATTACAAAATAAAATATTTCTAAAAAATTTGAAACATTTCATTGCTAAAATGTTAAAACAGGATGTTTCAACAGTGTCTGAACTTCCCCCGCTGTTTTTTCTCTGAAACGAAATTTCAGCAAAATCAAGGTGATTTTGTGAAGCATTTCAATTTTGATGGAACTGCATTTTCAGAACAGAAAATAGTTCTATCAAAGTTTTTCTGACCAGCTCTAGTTACAACCCATTTGAGATCACATGTTCACTCCTTGAGGCTATAATTTCCTCTATGCTTTCTCTATCTGTGCTTTCTAAATTTTATTGCAAGTACTGTACTGAAATGACAAAGTTTGTTTTAATGGTTCATTGTGCATTTTGAAAAAAGCATTTTTATCTGAAATGTAATACATTTTCAGTAACTCTTTGTTGATGCTGTTTTCTCTGGATCAGAGTCATGACAGGACCTTGTCCCAGCCTTTTGGAGCACGTGTATTTGTCTTTATTTGATCTATCTAATTTGTATGTTGATTTAGTCCCCATCCTATCAGGACACTCACGGTGATGTAGATAGATAGAGTTGAATAAATGACAGTAATTTGTGATATTACTGGAGTGGTAACAATATACCACTAGGCAGGAAATTCTGATTGCCATAAAGGCTCAGTTAAAGAGGAGGCAACCATTAACAAGTATTGAATAAATGACCTCAGAGCTGTTTCAGGTCATTTCTAAAACATCCCCATAAGACTGCATTTGTGATTGTAACTTCATCTCTATATATTAAACTCACTTATCTTCTCTGGTTGTCAGAAACAAACCAAAAAGAAAGGGGGAAAAAACTCTGTATAGAGCTATCAGTCATTGCTACACCATAGAGAGAGGATTCTAGGTTGCTAGCTACAAACTCCTTATTATGAAAGCAATAAAGTACTATCATTTGCTGGTACAGATTTTGATTAATGAGTTACAGGTTGAGATTGATACCTTTGGCCCTTGAACTGGTCTAATCTCTAGCAGGGCTGTAAATTTCATTGAGATTTGTTGACACAAGATCTTTTATCTATATACTATGTCAAACAAACTGTTTGATTAATGTCTTTCTCTTCTCTCTCTCTCTCTCCCTCCTCCCCCCTCTTACTTTGCTTCACAACCACAAACCTGGTCATTTTAATGAGTAGGAACTAAGAAAATGGTATGGGCTTATTTGAGTGACATCTATGCCCAGAAGTGATGGGGTGATGATGTGGTGGTGGTGGGGCGCATGCCTGCTGTCCCCTTTGATTCATCACAAACCTGAGATGTGTATCCCGTGAGATATATTTAAAACAAATATTCCACCTCTGTATTTTTCAATGTTGATTCTAAAGATGTTCCTAGAAAGTGAAACTTAGAAACTGTTGTAATTCCTTTCACTTAGGGCCTGAGCCTCTAAAGCAGTGGTCTCCAAACTGTGGGGGAGGAATGTTTGTGGGGGGCATGGCAGGGCCCAGGCCAGCCCCCACAGGGAGTGAGGAAGAGGCGCCATCCAGCCCCACTGTGCCCCCAGCTCTGCTCTGGCTCCAGCTCTGGCCTGGGCCCCAGCTGAGGCCCCAGCTTTGGCTTCCAGCCCCAGCCAC